TTCAGTGGGGTATTAATGGATTTTACAAATCAAAATAAATAAAAATGCTTGTGGGTGTTTGCCCCCCCTGCCAGGCCCCCCCCCCCAACACCTATGCATTGTTTGAAAGAAGCTCTTTGGGCTTACATATTAATCATGAATTGAATTCAATGGCAGGTACAGCACATTTCAACTTATCTATGGGAAATATCCAGTTAATCTCACCTACTGAAATCATCTATTTTCATAGTGTCCAGGAGAACCCCCAACTTTTAAGAACAACACTCAGGAGAAAACAGGATGAATATTCCATAGAAACTGTTCTTTTGAATGGAGAGGTTTTTCCACTAGCTCAACCCTACCATTGAATAGTTTTGTGTCTTTCTGTGATTATATGCTCCCAAACTTAAACAGTGGATCTAATTACTATGAGAAATAATTAGTAAGTAACATTGTAGATCACTTCAAGCACAAATGAGACTGCAATCTGTTGATAATGCTATAATTTGGGATAATGGACTTAATGGTCTATTTTATTCCACTCTACTCTACTCTACTCTACGCTACTCTACTCTACTCTACTCTACTCTACTCTACTCTACTCTACATTTTATTCTGTGATTCCTCAAATAAAATCATTGTGAACCAAACTACAACAAACCATTCTTTATATTTCCACCAAAATAATAATAATAATAATAATAATAATAATAAAAAGTTGTTTTCAATAATGTGCTTTGCGTTATAACATTATACAATAGGTAAATGTAATCACACACCTTGATACACAATATGAAATCCTTGTTTGTTCTGAGAATAATCACTGTGAAAATATAAGCTGGTTTCATGTGTGGTACTGAAAAGGGAAGAAGGTAGCTGAGGACCACTGAGTCTACCAATGGCAGTGCTAACATCGGTTGATCCACTTCTAACTTCCAAATAATCATGGATTGTCTCTGTTGAAAAGTTCACAAATTGCAAGTGCACACCTGAAAATATTGTGTAAGAAATAAACAGGATAAAATCTAAACGTTGTATAGTGCTTCTATATTAATACTATAATTCAGGAAGATGCTGTACTATTAGACTAGACTACCAAAGAGATCCTCTGTTTTCAACATATGATACTTTATTCTCAAAAATGTCAAAGTCTCAGGAAACCAATATGATTTAAACTACAGGAGCTCTACAATAATCCAGTTAATTGGCGTTTACTCAAAATTCCTAAAATTTC